TTGATTTGTAATAACACTGCACTTTGCTGTAGTGTACTAGATTAAATGCACTATGCTGTACTGTAATCACACAGCAATGTAATGTACCGTGATTATGCTGCAATGTGCCGTACTGTACTAGAATCACTGTACTGTGCTGTAGTGTGATCACACAGCAATGTATTGTACTGTTATAACACTGCGCTGTGTTGTACTGATTTGTAATAACAACGCAATGTGCTGTAGTGTACTAGAATAAATGCACTGTGTCAGACTGTAATATCACTGCAACGTACTTTAATATCACAATAATATTACATTTGGATTGTGATCTTACAATGTACTTTAATATAACCACAACATGCTATAGTGTACTAGAATAAATGCACTGTCCTGCACTGTAACAATACTGCACTGTGCTCTACTGTACTAGAATAACTGCTCTGTGATGTGCTGTAATAACACTGTAATGTACTTTACTGAACTGCTGTAAGGCACAACCTCCTTCTAATAATGTAGAAAGCCCTGAATGCCTACTCTTTCAGTGCCTTTACTGCCAGGACAAATTTGCCCTATCTCAGTTCACCCTAAGTGAAGAATTCTGTCCTTTTGTTCCAATTTTACAATGTGCACTTGTTCTCCATTGACTTAATTTTGTCATAGACTTTAGCTCCTACACACTTTGAAAAGTTTGAAAAGTAAAGCATTCCTTTGTGCAAAATTAAATTATAAAGCAGGCCTGTACTGTATATATACATACCGTATATCTCAGCATGTTATTGTTGACTGTCTTGGCCACAGGCCCTTCATGGTCTGAAGACCTGGAGTTTGTCTAGTATGTCATGCTCTGTGATCGGGATGTCTAAAAGGTTTTAGCTGTCTTTTATAATTAATTCAAATATTGTCAGTTTTTTGGTGAGTCTGTACTGTATTAACCCCTCTCTCTCAGTGCAGTGTTAATGTACTGGAGTGTCCAGTCAGTGTGTCTGAACTGTATTAACCCCTCTCTCTCAGTGCAGTGTTAATGTACTGTAGTGTCCAGTCAGTCAGTGTGTCTGTATGAACCCCTCTCTCTCAGTGCAGTGTTAATGTACTGTAGTGTCCAGTCAGTGTGTCTATACTGTCTTAAGCCCTCACGCCCGCAGTCCAATGTGAACATATGCTGGGGTCCAGTCTTTGTGTCTTTATTGACTCCTTGCAGGTGAACATGTGGACCTGGTTCTGGTGTTCTTTGACCCACTGGGCCAGGCGCTGTGTGGCCGGACTCTAAACATTGTGGAGCAACTGAGTGACAAAGCAGGCGAACGAGTGCACTTCTACCTCAGCAAGGCTGACCAGGCGGGCAGTGAGAGTGACCGCCAGGTACGGACTCAGGCATTAAATTGCACACACCTGAGCCGACTACACACAGGTCAGCCACATATTCACTTGCACACAAGTTACGTATTTCACACAGGTGAGCTAGCTACATACAGCTCATGAAATTGCACACAGTGAGCTGAAAACACACATGTCATGAAATTATACAAAGGTGGGCTCATTACACACAGTTGAGCTGGGTCACCTAATTACACACAGGCCAGTGACTACACACAGTTCATGAAATTGTAAACAGCCGAGTAAGCACAGGTGAGCTGATTGCACACAGGCTGATAACACACAGGTCATGCAATGGTGAGCTCATAGCACACTCATCATGAAATTGCACATATCTGACGACAGAAAGGTCATGAAATCACACAGGTCATGAAATTGCAAAGGTGATGTATGTGCACACAGGACAGCTGATCGGACACAGGTCATGTAATTGCACACAGATGAGCTGTTTGCTCTCAGGAGAACTAATTGTCTTTTCAGGGCATTTACGTGTCTCGGAGAAATATGTATTGTTTGGCTCTCGTTATATTCTTGAGTATTTTTTTATATTTTCTAGAATATTTTACAACCCATCTCTGCCTTTCTATCCAGTGTGATAGATCTGCCCGATTTGCCCGGTCAGGTTTCGGACAGCCCCCCTCCCTCCCCCTGACCTCCTCTCTCCCCGTCTCAGAGGGTGCTGATGCAGATCGTCCAGGAGCTGTGTAAGAGACCGGCGCTGAACAAGTGTGGGTTCAACATGCCCACAATCTACATCCCCCAGGAGGACAGGGTGAGACAGAGGACATTCACACCACACCTGTGCTGTGACCTGTGCAAGGAGCCTGGCAGCTTCTTCACGCTCGTTCAAAAGTCATGCTCCCGGCAGCTGGAGAGTAAGGTTGTCAAGTTCTCCTGAGGCCACTGAGTTCTGTCCTGGCCAGGCAAGTGGCTCTGGAGTTTCCTTGCTCATCCTAGGCTTTGGTTTGCCCAGTTCCCTCCGATCCCCAGTGTCCTGCTGAGACCCGGACACTTAGCCTGAGTAGCTGCTGCAGTGAGCCCAGGCTCTGTGAGCCTTGCTCTCCCACGCCTTTGGTGCCATGCGTGTGATATCAGACGGTCTTATTTGTCTTTGCAGCAGCGTGCAGCACAGTCCTGTCTCTGACCGACGGCTGAGCGTTCGCGATAAGTAAGCTCTTAAAGTTAACATCCTCATCAGATCCCAGCTAACTCTGCCCTGCAGCACACAGTAAGCATGCCTGAGCCTCTCACACAAGAGAGGACTGGGCTCAGGTGGAACTCGTTTCATCCTGGCTGTATTTTGGTGCTGAACATGCCTGGATGCTCAGGAAGTCGGCAAGAAGACATCCATCCACCCAGGGCAGGGTGACTGAATCACGCTCCCGTCCAAGCGAGGAGGATCAGACTCTCAGGCCTGCTCTCGGTCAGACTTCGAGTGACCTCCGTGTGTCTGCTGTGTCCTCGGTTTCCCTCTGTCTGCTCTGCGGGGGTGGAAATGAATTTGTCCAACTGTACCCCCTCTCAGGTATGTCGCTGTGTGAATCAGATCGAGGAGGTGTGCGTGACGATAGAGAAGACGATAGAGCAGACCGTGCAGCACACCCTCGACCAGCTGGAGAGAGACTGTCTCACCCTGCGACAGGCCACAGACACTGTCTTACAGAG